TGAGTGGAATTTTAATCAATAAAAGAGAAATTATAATCTTTCACTTGAATTCAGTAAAACTTAAATAACTTGTTCCTTGTGGGTTAACACATGGTTTCCTCAATGTGTTAGGTAAATATAATTTTAGAAGATACTCTGTAAGAATCACATTCTACAAACTGCCACATTAGGTGTCAACTTAAGTAGCAAATGTACTCGTGTCCCACATACCAGCAAAGGAAATATTCATGTAAGGAGATACAGAACATTTACATCTTCAGCTGCATTTCCACAAATATCTGCATCTGTTATTCCCATATTGGCATTGAAGTTTTGTTTTTTCTTTTTTTTTCGTCTTTTTTTGAGACAGGGTCTCCCTGTAGCCCCAGCTGGCCTGGAACTCACTTTGTAGACCAGGGTGGCCTCAAACGCACAGAGATCCACCTGCCACTGCCTCCCAAGTGCTGGGATTACATGTGTGTGCCACCACGCCCAGCTTTTTAATATAAAGAAAAGTAAATTCTCCTCATACTTTTAAATACTTGATAGGATTTGAATAAATTGCATGACCTCTTAACCTAATAGCTGACAGTCTGGGTTCAATTTGTAGGTTGTGCTTTTTACAGACTACTTTCTTTGCTGAACTAAAAAGCACAGTGGTCAGTGTAATTTTAGAGGATGGAGAAAACTACATATTCAACGGAACAAAAAGGGTGGTGAACTCTCAGTATGTGATGTGCAAATGTTAATAGCTTCTGATGTATACTAAGTGAAAATTCATTCATAAATAAAACACCTCTCCTGGAGCAAGCTCATCAATAAAATCTACTGATCTGCATCCTTAAAGGGATGTGACAGCCAGGAAAGAACTGTTCACCTTGACTCACTACAATCTATGAAAAGGGTTGAAACAAGTACTCAGCTTCAGTTTTTCACAGTAAGGTTGTATTCCTTCATCTTGTCAAAGGTATTCTGTTAGGAAATAATCTTTATCATTAACCTCTAAAATGTAATCTACACTTGTATTCACAAAACAAGCAGGACATCACTGTGACTATGTGCCCTGAGTTAATTAAGTGAATTCTGATATACATTTTATCATGAATATCTTACATAGTTCTATTTCTATTAGTCCATGTGCAAAAATAGTGATGCTAGTATTTTCCTGTTAGAATTGTGAAAATAAAATTAAAATGTACTCATAAATAAGCTGTATAGGCATATAGATCTAACACATACTTGGAAGGGACTAAGAATTAACTATACTATTTTTTATAAAATTGTTTCTTCTTAATTTTGCTTGTCTTTAAAAGGATTAATATTCTAAATATTCTTAAGCTTTTTGTAAGATAAAGAAATCTATGGTTAATATTTTCTTGAATGATTTTAGTATGCCACCAAATATAGATTTCTACAGAAGTTATGGTCTATTTGCACAACTACTTAGTAAAAATATCTCTCATTAACTAAAAATTTATAGAGTATATAGTAATATCTAATTTCACAAATGGAGGCCCTAAAATCAAGTGACAAATTTCTTCAAGAAAATTCAATCTAACACTTGCAAAAGAAAATTTCTCCTTATTAGGAATAATTGAATCAAACACTTCTAGAAAACAACAGTTTTCTGTATTAGGTTATTTAGTAGTTAGGTAATTTAGATTTTTGTGAAATTTATTATGTATAAGTGCTTATGGTTCATTCATTTATTTATAATGCTCTTAAGTGTTTGACATTTATCATCTCTTCTGTCTCAAGTAGTAAAAAATATCCTATAACTTTTCTTCATAGCTAGATGAAGCTGCTAACAGTCCCAAATGTGAAATTAAGAGTACAATACAGTATTCCTTTTATTAATTTTCTACTGGAGTTCATCCCTTACACTGTCTGGTAAACCATTAGGAAATAAGAAAACACATTTAAGGAATCTACATTTTATCAAAAATAGTTACCAGCCACTTATATTTGCAGAATGCACCTTTGTAGAAATGAGAGTTCTACTGGAAAGTAATAATGTAGTAATAGGTGCTTCTGTGATTATTGAAAAGCATATTTTTTTTTTACCTTGGATTTAGAAAGAAAGAAGAGGGAAAGATAGGAAAAATAAAATAAAGATAGCACAACTTAGGTATTTGATTTTGGCCAGTTGCAACAAATACTTAAAATGTGGTGATAAAATCTTTGTTAATTAATGATATATTCTAACCAAAATAATAAGATATCTCAAGGGGAAAAACATAGTCAATAATCCTTAAGTTATAATAGAATGAAAGTTTACATTCTATTACAGTGCTGTTCAATATGTAAATTGATTTGCAACACATAAAATATGGTTTAAAAGAACTTACTCTGTATGTATGATAATGAACAGTGCTTCAAGGAACATGTGAGCTGCAGTCTTTTGCTCTTCTCTTTTTTCCTTCCCTGTGGTGATAAATACCCAA